TAAACTGTGTCGTGTGAAGTAAACTGTGTCGTGGCTAAACCTGTGTCGTGTGAAGTAAACTGTGTCGTGTGAAGTAAACTGTGTCGTGTGAAGTAAACTGTGTCGTGTGAAGTAAACTGTGTCGTGTGAAGTAAACTGTGTCGTGTGAAGTAAACTGTGTCGTGTGACGTAAACTGTGTCGTGTGAAGTAAACTGTGTCGTGTGAAGTAAACTGTGTCGTGTGAAGTAAACTATGTAGCTTGAAGTAAACTGTATCGTGTGAAGTAAAATGTGTCGTTTGAAGCAAACTGTGTCGTAAAGTAAACTGTGTCGTGAAGTGTTGCGTCATGAAGTAAACCGGTGTCGTGAAGTAAGTCAAACAGTTTTGAAGCAAACCGAAGGCTTGAAGTAAAATCGTGTGTCGTTTGGAAGTAAACCGTATCGTGAAGTAAACCGTGTCGTGAAGTAAACTGTGTCGTGTGAAGTAAACCGTGTCGTTATTGAGGCAAGCTGTGTCGTGTAGTAAATTGTGTCGTGTAAGTAAACTGTAGTGTTAATAAATGCTTGTCGTGTTGAAGTAAACTGTCGTGTGGAGTAAACTGGTGTCGTGTAGAATGAGCTTCTGTCTGTGTGAAGTAAATAAATAAACTGTGTCGTTGGAGGTAACTTTCGTGAAACTGCATTCGTGTGGAGTATTCGCGTGGTAAATGCAAAGGCTGCGAATCATTGTGTAAAGTAAACTGTGTCGTGTGAAGTAAACTGTGTCGTGTGAAGTAAACTGTGTCATGTGAAGTAAACTGTGTCGTGTGAAGTAAACTGTGTCGTGTGAAGTAAACTGTGCCATGTGAAGTAAACTGTGTCGTATGAAGTAAACTGCGTCGTATGAAGTAAACTGCGTCGTGTGAAGTAAAATGTGTCATGAAGGAAAGAGGAAGGTGCATGTATTGATTTCCCAATGTTGGTCTCCCAGTATTGATCTCCCAATATTGGTCTCCCAGTATTGGTCTCCCATTATTGATCTCCCAGTATTAATCTCCCAGTATTGATTTTCCGGTATTGGTTTTCCAGTATTGGTCCTCCAGTATTGGTCTCCCAGTATTGTTTTTCCAGTATTGGTCTCCCAGTATTGGTCTCCCAGTATTGGTCTCCCATTATTGGTCTCCCATTATTGATCTCCCAGTATTGATCTCCTAGGGTGCCATCAATTTCAGAGTGCTCATCAATCTTCTTTAGTTTCACCTCATAATATTTACCCAGGAAGTGTGGTGTGATGGCCAGGGAGTATGACACCATGAACGGACAAGATGTTAATGTTCATGACCTGGTGACCTCCTTCCTGGTCTTCACTCGGAACATTTCATTCTGGATAACGTTTTATATCCTCAAATTTTAACCACATTAACCACAACACACTTGAGAGCATTTTTGTACTAGTAAGGTACTGTATGTCTCCTGTCTGTAGTACTTCTTGCTATATTTGTACTTCACTTTCTGTGGTGTTCATTTCCTGCAGCCATCACACAGCAGGGCCTCTTGTCTCGGGCGAACTACCTGACAGCATTAAAGACATGCTGTATATATATATATATATATATATATATATATCTATATATATATATATATATATATATACTATATATATATATATATATATATATATATATATATATATATATATGTGATTTTATGGGTAGTGTTTGGCAGGTGAGGAATACGTGTGGCTGCCTCGATGTCTTGTTGTCACTCTCAGGCAGCTGTGTGACTAACTGAAAACCGAGCAGCTTACCGACGGCCGCCTGACAGGGGTACAGAATGATGCAGGTACAAAACAGTTTAGTATGAAATAGTAAGGGTACGAAATATCCCGCTACAGTTCAGCTGTACTACCGACTGAAAACATAGGTTGTGAAGCCGACCTTATGCAGTACATCTAGGAAAGATACCAAAGTCCCTAATTCCTTCTTGGATTCTTTTATATAGATTTGCGAAGTTTTTTCCTGCTATTATGAACGTCAGAATACGTCCTCTTAACTTGAACAAAAACAAAACAAAAAACAGGTCCAGAAACTTTTAGGGCGTGGAAGCCGTAAATTAAGTGTCCATTGAGCGTTAAGGCCGCCAGTGTGTTAGGCCGAGCCATCACCATGATCTACACCAGCCTCAGGTACAGTACACAGGTTAACCTTTATGCTTACCTATTTTTTACGGGGATTAGCCCACCCAGGCACAGGTCACTGACCCACATCGGGGCCTAGGGGGCGAAAATGTAATAAATAATAATAATAATAATAATAATAATAATAATAATAATAATAATAATAATAATAATAAATAATAAAGAACCATAAAGAAATACAAATTGAAGAAAAAATTAGTGAGAAACAATATACAGTATATATGTTGTGTTGTCAATAGTAAGAGAAACAATTGAGACCCTGCAATTGTGTGTAAATGAGGCAAAAAGTCAGATCAGCAACCTGGGACTTGGTCACAATTTTCGTGATGCCATATGACAGCAGGGTCTACCATAGACTTCCACCATAGAATTGAGTTGCCGTATAGAATTTCGTATTGAGATGATGTGAGGTTCCGTAACTCCTCAGTATTATAACTTATATAATTTAAAATAACAGTATTGGATGAAAATATAAGACCTCATCAAAGTAAGAACAACAATATAAATGACTACATGGTGTAAGCCATACACTGTCACATGGGTGGATGAGTTGCTCTAAAGCAGTGGTTTTCAACCTTGTTTGCCCCATGCACCCTTTTCACCATATGTCAGAATGTCATTTCCCCCTCCTTTCCAAGATTGTCTGCCTCAAAAAGTGCATTCCAAATAATATGCATATAATACTGAAAAACCTTTAATTTTTCCATATTAGTACATATACATTTACAATTTTACATGGATTATTTTTATAGTGGAGTTTTACAAATTAAATGCCAATTGAAAATGTTGATGGATTTATAAAACTTGAATAAAAGTAAAATAGTTTTTATTTTATTTATAATGAATTACTTAACAGACCAAACTGAAGCATAATGCAATAAACAAAAAGTTCAATAGAATACCAGGATATTGTAAATTTGTAATTAATTTTATTCAGATGAAGATTACAGTCAATGAGAAACCTGTGATTGTTTTTTCTTCGCCAATTCTGGGATACGCGGAGGAGTGCTTGAAAGGGCACAACGCAGGTCATTTTCTACCTCTAATCTACTACGTTGCTTCGCTTTAATTTGCAACAGAGTTGAAAAGCCTGACTCACAAAGATATGTCGACACAAACGGAAGCAATGCACGGATAGCTCTTTCTGCCACTTTTGGGTAGGAATCGCACATCAAGGCCAAAATTCTGTGATTGATTTCTCATCGAACATATCTCTTGCTCCCGAATCAGTTTCCACCCCCCTGAAAACCTGAATTCCCCCCCTGGGGGGAATTCCCCCCCTGGTTGAGAACCCCTGCTCTAAAGAATTTAATGTTATGAAACGAGTTTACGGAACCTCTTTATTATACCACATGATAATAAATCCTGCTCACTGCTTTATTTGTATGATGGGTAACACATTATACACGCAAACAATTAAACACCTGATAGAAAACAGAAGATAAAGAGTAACCGGCAACTCGACGTATGGAGTGCAGGGCTACCAGTACGGCATAAGGCAAGAGGGTTTGTCAGAACTCTTGGTCCGGTGGACTAATATTAATACTAAACTATAATCAGGAACATCAGAGGTTCACCACCACTATCATCTCTCTGGTATACTCTCACAGGTATTCTATCAAAATGAATTGTTGCCTTAAATTACAGTGCCAGAGTTTATCTCTCAGGGGCTACATAAAAGTTCAGTTGTTGTTTAATTTAGCAAACTCAAGATTTATAAACACACACACACTATTCTGATTATGATATAAATACTTAATACAATTAAAATATACAAGTTCCTTAAGGCCAGGTGGACAGGTGCTTCCTGTCACCTGTTACACCCGGCCCGCTAGACCTTGGGTCGTGTTTCCTGAACCAACATGACGATAATTCCGATAAAACACTTGTCTCTGTCTCCTGGGGATCTGTCCCCATGTTTCGTATTTTTCCTCCTGCTATAGAAGATGTTCGGCGATGGAGACGTGATGGGATGAGAGGCGAGTTTGTTTATTTGGTCTGAGGAGATCATTGTGTTGGAGAAGCTGGGTATAGGGATGTTAGTGTGAAGAACAAATATTATTGACTGGGACAGAGGCATTCATTAAGTCAACAATATTATAACCAATTAGTGTTCCATGTAATTAATTAACAGTTTGGGTCAACAAAATCACCAGAGTTAAGTTCAGGATCCAGACACTTAGTGATAGTGACTTTATGCCCATCAAATACTCTATGTAAGAAGATATATTTACTCAGTGGACAACAATGATGATAAAATTTTACAGTGACACTCAAACTCATTTTGGCTCTGGTTCCACCTAACTAAACTTCGTGACTTATGTTGCCTTAATCACATATGTGTTCCATGACTTAGTGTGAAGTTAAATTATATATTTCTTTAACCTGGAAATTGATAAATCTAGTCAAGATTATTTTCTTTTGCTTTTTATAAATGGTTTTAATTTCAGTTCTTGCCTTTATTACAGAACTACTGAGGAACAAAATAATCTCCTCTGACGACGAGTCTAGGAGCCAATAGTTATAATTATAAACATAGACTAAGGGATTCATTTTGTCACTCCCGGGAGGCGCGGCAACCATAGTTAAGTTTTCTGTCTCATTCTTGTCTTTCACATGTTATCATCAGGTGGTGGCAACTGAGGCAATTTGTCCCTGGCCCCTGACATCCTTGGGCCCCCAAACGATAAGAGAGATGTAGACGCACACAAGTTATTAGCGTTGGAAAATTTGGCGTCTATAAATCCCCGGATGTGAAAAAAGTGATAATAGATGCGATATACTTTGATCTTTGAAAGTGACCACTGAGAGCCCCATCTCATAATTCTGCCCCGGGCCCTCTAAGCTCTGGAAGGGGGGGGTGGGGCTGCCTGAAGCTACTAACCGCGTGAAGCAGGTGAGTCCACAGGTGGCCCAGGAGGTGGACCAAGATATGGACCAGGAAGTAGACCAAGAGGTGAATGAACCAGGAGGTGGACCAAGATATAGACCAGGAGGTGGACCAAAAGGTGGACCAGGAGGTGAACCAGGTGGGGGCCCATGAAGTGGAATAGCAGGTGGCCCAGAAGGTGGACCAAGATATGGACCAGGAGGTGGACCAAGATATGAACCAGGAGGTGGACCAAGTTATGGACCAGGAGGTGGACCAGGGGGCGGCCCAAGAGTAGAACAAGAGGTAGACCAGGAGGTGGACCAAGATGGACCAGGAGGAGGTGGACCAGGGGGCGGCCCAAGAAGTGGAACAGGAGGTAGACCAAGGGGGAGTGGACCACAGTGGAGTGAAGATGTGAGGTGGAGGTGGACGAAACTATAATCCAAGTGTTTTTACTAATCCTCCTGGTAACCCCCTAAGCCCCCCCTCCACTTCCTCTCATCTCCTCATCAGAAGAAAAAATAAATCGTTTCCATTTTCGTTTCAGTTGGTATAGTCTAAAAGGTTCTAAGGAAGAGTTTAAAGCTTTGTCTAACTGGAGACATAGAGGTATCGATTTGTCTCACTTAGATGCAACACAAAGACGGCGGCCTGGCATGGCATCGAAATTACCTAGAGATTGTCTTGGGGGGAGGTAAAGAGAGGGAATGTCGTTACGGTGGTAAGTAGATTCCATCTCTTATAGTTAGTTCAGAATGTTAATGTAACACGAGGATTCATAGCTATTGCAAGATAATCATTTAACCCCTTGAGTACACGATGACTTAACCCAATGAGGGGTTAAATCATCACACTCTAGTGGTTAAATCATCGTACTCAATGGGTTAAATCGTCATACTGAAGGTTTTAATTAATTGTACTTACGGAGTTAATTCATCGTACTGAAGGGGTTAAGATCAGTATTAGGAGTAAAGTACTTAATACTTGAGGGTTAAGGTTTACACTGTTTCCTGGCCATCACTCATGAGCTAACATTCGAGGGAAATACGTCATCACTTTCTCCTCTATGTGGTCGGTCAGGGACGATGTGAGTGACCGATGGTGCTCCTTTTCCCTAGTGACCGATGGTGTCCCTCTTCTCCAGTGACTGATGGTGCTCCTCTTCCCTAGTGACCGATGGTGCTCCTCCTCCCTAGTGACCGATGGTGCTCCGCTTCTCTAGTGACCGATGGTGCTCCTCTTCCCTAGTGACCGATGGTGCTACTCTTCCCTAGTGACCGATGATGCTCCTCTTCTCTAGTGACTGATGGTGCTTCTCTTCCCTAGTGACCGATAGTACTCCTCTTTTCTAGTGACCGATGGTGCTCCTCTTCTCTAGTGACTGATGGTGTTTCTCTTCCCTAGTGACGGATGGTGATCCTCTTCCCTAGTAACCGATGGTGCCCCTCTTCCCTAGTGACTGATGGTGCCCTCTCCCTTAGTGACTGATGGTGCTCCTCTTCCCTAGTGACTGATGGTGCTCCTCTTCCCTAGTGACTGATGGTGTCCCTCTTCCTAGTGACTGATGATGCTCATCTTCCCTAGTGACTGATGGATCCTCTTCCCTAGTGACTGATGGTGCTCCTCTTCCCAGTGACTGATGGTACTCCTCTTCCCAGTGACTGATGGTGCTCCTCTTCCCCAGTGACTGATGGTGTCCCCTCTTCCTAGTGACTGATGGTGCCCCTCTGCCCTAGTGACTGATGGTGCTCCTCTTCCTAGTGACTGATGGTGCTCCTCTTCCCTAGTGACTGATGGTGCCCCTTGCTCTGTAGTGACTGATGGTGCTCCTTCCTAGTGACTGATGGTGCTCTCTGCCCTAGTGATCACTGATGGTGCTCCTCTCCCTAGTGACTGATGGAGTGCTCCGCTTCCTAGTGACTGATGGCGCTCCTCTTCCCCAGTGACTGATGGTGCTCCTCTTCCCTAGTGACTTGATGGTGCTCCTCTTCCCTAGTGACCGATGGTGTCCCTCTTCCCTAGTGACTGATGGCAACCCTCTACCCTAGTGACTGTCGGTGCTCCGCTTCCCTAGTGACTGATGGTGCTCCGCTTCCCTAGTGACCGATGGTGCTCCTCTTCCCTAGTAACCGATGGTGCTCCTCTTCCCTAGTAACCGAATGTGCTCCTCTTCCCGAGTGACTGATGGTGCTCCTCTTCCCCAGTGACTGATGGTACTCCTCTTCCCCAGTGACTGATGGTGCTCCTCTTCCCCAGTGACTGATGGTGTCCCCTCTGCCCTAGTGACTGATGGTGCCCCTCTTCCCTAGTGACTGATGGTGCCCCTCTGCCCTAGTGACTGATGGTGCTCCTCTTCCCTAGTGACTGATGGTGCCTCTCTGCCCTAGTGACTGATGGTGCCCCTCTACCCTAGTGACTGATGGTGCTCCTCTTCCCTAGTGACTAATGGTGCTCCTCTTCCCTAGTGACCGATGGTGTCCCTCTTCCCTAGTGACTGATGGCAACCCTCTACCCTAGTGACTGTCGGTGCTCCGCTTCCCTAGTGACTGATGGTGCTCCGCTTCCCTAGTGACCGATGGTGCTCCTCTTCCCTAGTAACCGATGGTGCTCCTCTTCCCTAGTAACCGATGGTGCTCCTCTTCCCTAGTAACCGATCGTGCTCCCTCCTGGTGACTGATGGTGCTCCTCTTCCTAGTGACTGATGGTGCTCCTCTTCCCTAGTAACCGATGGTGCTCCTCTTCCCTAGTGACTGGTGGTGCTCCGCTTCCCCTAGTGACTGATGGTGCTCCCTCTTCCCCAGTGACTGATGATGCTCCTCTTCTAGTGACCATTGGTGCTCCTCTTCCCTGATGACCGTGGTGCCCTCCTAGTGACTGATGGTGCCCTCTCTCACCACCCCTACTCACCGACACCCACTACACCTTCTCACCCACCTACACCCCCTCACCTACACCTAGTACACTCTCACCTACACCCACCCTACTCACCTCCACCCCTACACCTTCACTCCACCCACTACACCCTCACCTACACCTAGTACACTCTCACCTACACCCACCCCTACTCACCGACACCCACTACACCTTCACCTACACCCACTACACCCTCACCTACACCTAGTACACTCTCACCTACACCCACCCTACTCACCGACACCCACTACACCTTTACTCACCCACTACACCCTCACCTACCTAGTACCCTCACCTACATCCACCCTACTCACCGACACCCACTACACCTTTACCAACACCCTACTACCTTCACTCACACCCACTATACCTTCACCTCCACCCACTACACCTTCACTCACACCCACTACCCTCACTCACACCCACTATACCTTCGTCCACTACACCCCTCACCTACACCTAGTACCTCTCACCTACACCACCCTACTCACCGTCACCCACTACCTTCACCTCCGCCCACTACACCTTCACTCACACCCACTATCCTTCACCTCCACCCTACATCTTCACTCACACCCACTACCCTTCCTCCACCCCCTTATACCTTCGTCCACCCACTACACCTTCACTCCACACCCTACACCTTCACCTCCCCCACTACCTAATCCACCCACACACCTTCACCCCACACCCTACACCTTCCTCCACTCACCCCTACACCTTCCTCCCACACCCTACCTTCACTCACACCACCTACACCTCACTCCACACCCTACACCTTCACCTCCACCCACTACACCCTCCCTCCCACCCACTACACCTTCACTCACACCCACTACACCTCACTCACACCCTACACCTTCACCTCCACCCACTACACCCTCCTCACACCCTACACCTCCACTCCCACCACTCACCCCTCCTCCACACCCCTACACCTTCACCTCCACCCACTACACCTCCTCCCACACCCACTACACCTTCACTCACACCCACACACCTTCACTCACACCCCACTACACCTTCATTCCCACCCTACACCTTCCTCACACCCACTACACCCTCATTCACACCCCTACACCTTCACCTCCACCCACTACACCCTCACTCACCACTACACCTTCACCTCCACCCACTATACCTTCACCTCCACCCACTACACCCTCATTCCCACACCTACACCTTCTCCTCCACCCACTACACCTCACTCCCCACTACACCTTCACCTCCACCCACTACACCTTCACTCACACCACCACCCTCACTCCACACCCACTACACCTTCACCCCACTACACCCTCCTCACACCCACTACCTCTCTCACCCCTACCCTCCTCCACACCTGCCCCTCCTCACCCCTACACCTTCACCTCCACCCACTACACCTTCAGGTACAAGAACCCCATGAAATATTATAAAAGTAATGCCTCGTTATTAGATTTTATTACAAGGTAGTCGGGTCACCTTTATGTACCTGAAATAATTGTTAGACAGTTATGAATTAATTATACCAAAAAAGCTCATATTATTTTTTACCTTTAATTAAATAGGTTAATGTTAAAATTCAAAACATTAATATAGTAAATCAAAAAAATTATTAAAATATTTTTATTTATTAGGTTTAACATCCCCCCCCTCCCCTCTCTTGGCTGACCTCCTGAGGCAGGGTTTCCCCGTCAGTCAGTCATTTCTCTCTATCCTGAGTTGCCTTTCTTCCCTTCTTGTGGGTTAATTTCGGCTCAGGGGCGAGAATGGTTTTATGCAATACCTCCCTGTACTGAAATAAATATAACTAGTTTAGCTCTGATTTTTTCCGGCCATTTTTCGGAGCAATTTGTTAGAATTTAGAATTTCTTGTTCCATAAATTCTTCCTCGAACGCTGTATCAGGGGTCAGTAGGAATTAGAGAGATAACTCACTAACAGATGGCGCTGTTACTGAAAGTCTGGCGCGAACACAAGACGACGAGAGGGAGGGAAGGAGGGACGACAGGAGGGCGAGAGGGAGGGACGATAGGAGGGAGGGAGGGCTGTTGGAAGAGAGGGAGACAGGGACAATGGGAGGGACGAAAGGACGACAGGAGGAGGAGGAGAAAAGTCATAGAGGCTCAGGGGATGAGTACACCGCCATAGAGGCTCAGGGAGGATGAGTACACCGCCATAGAGGCCCAGGAAGGAAGAGTACACCGCCATAGGGTTCAGGGAAGATGAGTACACCGTCGTAGAGGCTGAGGGAGGTTGAGTACACCATCATAGAGG